ACATAAAAATAAGCAAAAGTTATATTAAAGAGACTATTCAAAAATAAATATTCCCGAAGAGGCAATTTTTAAAGTAATATTCTTCTCCCCAAACTGCATAATTATGTCTTAGCTAATATCAGGTATAGATGGATAAGTCAATAGGTGCCTGATGAATGTGTATCTATGGCTGTTTTTTTATTTTTTATTTTTTTTCTTTATTGATTTTAGAGAGAAAGGGAGAGGGGAACAGAGATAGAAACATTGGTGACAGAGAACATTTATTGACCGCTTCCTGCATGCCCCCCACTGGGGATCAGGCCACAGGGCATGTGTCCTGACTGAGAATTGAACCAGCAACCTCTTGGTGCATGGGTAGATACTCAACAACTGAGCCACACTGGCTGGGCACCCCTCACTATTTTAAAAACTTTTATCTCAGTTGTCTTTTTTTTTTCATTAGACTAAATATTTCTAATATTAATCTTCTTTATCTTGCCACTGCTTCTTAATTAATTTAATGATTCTTTATGAGCCCACTTCTGTTTAGCATATCCCAGGTGTGGGTTCTAGTCTATATTATGTAAGGGAGAGGACATCTTGCTGGCAGTTGGGCTCACCTAACTCCTAATTTTCTTTTTCCTAGAATATATTTGTTTTTCTTTAGATTTATATATAGCACAAAATAATTTATTATTATATTATACCTTTTAGTATAGGAAAAGCAAAGACAAAGGCATTGGTTCCATATGGTTTCCAGTCTTTTTGTCTAACCTTGAATTTTATTAAGTTTTACAGTAAGGAATGGATTTTCCGATTGTTAATTTACAACTGTTTTCTTGATGGAAAACTAGGAAGACTACAACATTTTCGTTAGCCTTAATTTTGTATTTTTTGTATTCTCTAACATTTGGGAAAATAGTAATAACCTAACTGGACTACTTTCAACAATGCAGTTTTCATTCAGCCCCTTGTTGAAATGTAAACATTTGCCTTTTTTAAAATGTATTTTATTGTAAGTATTGCAGATGACCCCTTTCTTCTTGCTCCCACCTCCCCTCCTGCTTTCCCCAACCTAATGTCTGTGTCCAAGAATAAGTTACTTGGTTTATTTCTTCATGCCATTTTCTTAAATATGTTTTTATTGATTTTTTTAGAGAGGAAGGATGAGAGAGAGAGATAGAGACATGGATGTGAGAGAGAAACATTGATCAACTGCCTCCTGCACACCCCCTGCTTGGGATTGAGCCTGCAACCCAGGCATGTGCCCTGACCGGGAATAGAACCGGGACCTCTCAGTCCATGGGACAATGCTCAATCCACTGAGCCACACCAGCCTTTTTTTTTAAAATGAAAGTGTCTGGCTGTAGATGTTTATAACTGAGTTTCCAACAAGAGGGAACATAGTTGTGCATAGAAAAATAATTATCATATTTTAATATGTTTAATATAGAAAAGTAAATCAAATTCAGGAAGTACAGGTAGACTTCAGATGGAGACTAGAAGCATCATTTCCAAATGCTGCTTAAAGAAGCTGCCCCAACCAGTAGACTTAAAAATTAGGAAACTTGAAGTTTTGAATTCTGCCTTTTTCCCAAAGAAACTTTAAGTAAAAAGGAGACTGGGTAGTAGACAAAATGAAGGGTGAAAACTTCAAACCATCAGCTGAAATAAAATATAATGCTGTAAATGTGGATAGAGAAACCCTGTCAGATGCTTTTGGCTTGCACCCTGATGAAGATTTTGACAGCACTGCACATGGAAATGGTCTTGATGTGCTGCCATTTTCGTCTTTGCTGAATGTAGCCAATTTAAACTGCTAGAATTTCTTGACATTCCTACTCTGGCATATCTGAGTCAGCATCTTGTTGCTGCAGCAGCTTAATTAAATTTGCCAGTTTGTGCCACGAGGACAGACATGTTCTCATATTCAGAGAGACAGCTGTGAAGCAGTATTGTTAAGAATTGCGGACACAATACTGTTAGGTTTGAATAGCTCTCAAGGCATTTTCTAGTGAGAAATCAATTTGCTGTGATACATTTCTCCCAAGATCAGCAGTTAATATTCATTTTGTTAACCTAAAATATGCTTTTTTTTATACAGTTATTGGAGAAACTTTAGTCGCTAAGTATGTCTTTTTCACCTGTATTATTTTCAGAGCCAATTTAATCATCCTTATTTTAATTTGCATAATTCTTTTCTCATTCACTAACCACCTATCTTGATTAGTTTTCCATCCATTGTTTAAAGTGGTCTTGAGTATGTCTGCTTTATTTTGGGACCCTAAGTAATTTTCTAAAAATTTTGGAATTTTTACCATATTATTCTATATTGTCAAGTTGATTTAAAACAAGTCAGTGTTAGTTTTGGATGGAGCTTAACGTACCCTTTGTCCAGATACAGATCTAGATTGTAATTCTCAACCTTAATCAGGCCAAAAACCTATTTTTCATAACAAATATTTGTAAGAAATAAGACACCTCTTTTACTGGCCTGAATTGAAATTCATAGATAATAATAGCCACAGACATATTTAGAAATAATGTCATAGATATATAAATGTGAAACAAAAATAATTTATATTCTAATATGTAAATGCCTAAATACTACTGCCTGGAAGATATAATAAAGTAGTCAGATGCACCAGCTAAAATGAATAAGGTTGTATTTAAGAGAAGATAAACTTACCACAAAGCAGTGATTTTCAACTGGTGTGCCACAAGAGGCACATGGTTCTGCCGCAAGGAATTTTATTTTAAAACATCCAATACCTAACTATTTAGTGAGGGGCACTGACCCCTTTTTCCTTAGATTGTCAAATAAAAATCTTACAACAGCCAACACAACAATAGTTGTCCAGCGTGAATGTCAAAATAATACCTTTTTTTGGGTCAGATCGGCAAAAAATATACTTTTTGGTGTGCTGCAGAATTTTAATAATTAGTTTATGCATGCCATGAGGTGAAAAGGTTGAAAATCCCAACCATAAAGGAATCATAAGAAAATCAAAGAGAATAAAATGTATTGTTAAGTAAAACAGACCAGATTTATTTGTATATGATATCAGAAAGCCTGAAGAGACCTTGAAAAAGTTGTGCAGGACCACCAAACATCACAGGCAGGTACTATTTCTCACCTCTATATGCCTTTAATTCTTTCCCTCTTTTTTTGACAACCCAGATTGCACCCACAGGTTTCCAAAATACCCTAAGGGAATTAATACTGTCACAATTGAGAACCACTGCGCTGGATATTTCTTGTCTCCCCTCTCTTCCTCTTTTTTTTTTTTTTTGGCGGGAGAGAGAGAGAAAGAAACATCAACATGAGAGAGACACATTGATTGGCTGCCTCCAGCACCACCCTGACTAGGGCTGGGGACAAACTGCAACTGAGGTACGGGGTCCTTGACCAGAATTGAACCCTTGGACCAAAGAGTCATAGCGCTCTAACTGTTGAGCAAAACATGCCAGGGCCCCCTCTCCCTCTTTATCCCTGATCTGGACGTCCTTAGGAGTCTTCTCAGTCACCTATTCAGTGTGTTCAGTTTGGAAACCTGAGAGCTCTCCATAGTTGCATTGTATTGATGTACATATTTACTTTTTTCCCCCTCTTCATTTGACTGATCTACTTGATTGTAAGATCCTAGAGAGTAGAGATTGATTATATCTGCTCAATGTTGATTGTATCCCCACTACCCAATACAGGGCTGGCGCATGGTAGTCACTCAATAAATATTAATTAATAGAGGAATGAAAACTGAATCAACATACATCCATCTTTCTCATTATTCTTTCTTCCTCTTGGTTTATCATTGTTGTTTAATTTGGAACTAAATCATAGAGAATAGTTACTGGTGTAGAAATTAGAGTCATTGAGGTTAAAGAAATGTGTGTGTGTGTGTGTGTGTGTGTGTACTTTAAAACTTATACAAATGTAGATTGCAATAGCTGAATATCAGGAATAAAGACAGATTACGAATAAGATAAGAAATTTGTATTCATATACCTTAATTGGAGTGATAAGGTAATTTTTTTTTTTTTTTCATCCTCACCTGAGGACATTTTTCCATTTTTTGTACAGATAGAGTGGGAGGGAGAGAGAGAGAGAGAGAGAAACATCGATGTGAAAGGGACACATCGAGTGGCTGCCACCCGCACGACCAACCAGGGCCGGGGACAAACTGCAACCGAGGTACATGCCCTTAGCGGGAACCGAACCCGGGTCTCTCCGGACCGCAGGCCGACGCTCCAACCGCTGAGCCAAACCGGCCAGGGCGTAATTTTTTTTTTTTTAGTTGGGGTAGCATTTTATAAACATATGGTAACAGGTTCTCTAGCTACTCACTGCAGAGCATTTCATTATAGATATGCCAAGATTTCTCTTTTGCATCCATGCAAAGTATAGAGACATTTCCATGGATTCAGCCATGTACATGAGTGATAGAAGGTTGAACAACTTTTCTAAAACCTCTGTTGCTTTCATAAAATATGACACGCAGTTGGAATTTTCTTTTTAATTCTTGAGATAATAAAAGCAGAAGAAACCAGAAAATTAGAATCTCAGTGAATTGGTTAGCATCTAGCTTGTGACCACATCATATCCTGCTCTCTGGCTTTTGTTCATCATATTAACTGATATGTCTTATTGAAGAATTTAAGCATTATAAAACAACTAAAATGTAAACATGAAATACCTGCATATATAATTGGCAAGAGTGATTTACCTCTCTTCAATAGAGGGGAAAAAACCTCCGAATTGAATAATTTGTCTAAGGATTATGCCTCTTCCTCTCCCTCAGATGATTGAAGGTAAGTTTATAGTGCACTCCTATCCTGCATAATACTTAATTTATATCAAATAGCTAAACATCAAAATGCAGGTGGCAAAGTTAGATAATTCATAATTTACTGTGTTAATCATGCTATATTCTCCCTGGTGATTAAGAATCTTGAGGTTCCATGATAGTAATCTTCATATGAAAAGCACATGTTTGTAAATTGTAATTTTTTTTTCCTTTCAGGCGTATAGGAGAAAATTTGAATGCCTCAGCAAGTTCTGTAGAAAATGAGCCGGCAGTTAGTTCAGCAACTCAAGCAAAGGAAAAAGTTAAAACCACAGTTGGAATGGTTCTTCTTCCAAAACCAAGAGTTCCTTATCCTCGTTTCTCTCGTTTCTCACAAAGAGAACAGAGGAGTTATGTGGACTTGTTGGTTAAATACACAAAAATTTCTGCTAATTCCAAAGCTGTTGGAATAAATAAAAATGACTTCTTGCAGTACTTGGTATGTATTCTGTTCTTCAGCTTCCGCAAAAAATATTTAAAAGTGAAGAAATATTTTAAATTTGCTTTTATGTTTTTAGGTGCAATCATATTAACAAAAATGGAAAATTTAAGGTGTTTAGTTGATGGACAAATTGGTGCTTTAATTCTTTTGTTGGTTCTGGTATGGTTTGGGCATTTTGCTCTAGTTCTGGCATATTTCACTCTATTTCATCTTAAGTACTATCAGTAGAGCTTTACATAGGTCATTGAACCAATTTAAAATTTTTGTTTATTACTTTAGTTTCTAGAGATTCAGCTATATAAATGATGCTACGCTGAACATCATTGTTGCAAACTCTGTTTATATCTATGATTGTTTCCTTAAGATAAAATTTTAAAAATAAAATTGCTAGCCCTGGCTGGGTAACTCAGTTGGTTAGAGCGTTGTCCAGATACGCCAAAGTTTTGGATTCGATCCCCGATCAGAGCACATAGAAGAATCAGTCAGTGAATGCTTAAGAAGATGAAACAACAAATCTCCCTCTCCCTTTCTTCCTCTCCTTTTTTCCCTCTCCCTTTCACCCTCTCCCTTCCTTCCTTCCTTCTTCTTTCTCTAAAATCAATCAATCAATAAAAATAATAATAAATAAAACTGCCATATCAGGAATTATACAAGTTTTTAAGGCTTTGATCTGCAATTACACATAGGTAAATTGTTCTCCAAAAGTTTTAAATCGTTTTGTTTATACAACTATTGTGTAGAAGGGTTTTTTTCTTTTATTTTTTTTTCAATATTTTCACTAATACTGGAAATTACCTTTTTTCCCTTTAATTTGATATGGAAGAAATGGTGATCCCTTGTTTTACATTAATTTACAGTAATTACTAATAAAAATAAGCATTTCCCATGTGTTTATAAGGCATTTCTGTTTCTTTTGTAATTTACCTATTCATTTGCTCATTTTTCCATTTGGGTGTTTGTTCTTTTATTGTCAATAGCATTTTATAAAATAAGCTTACTAATTCCAAAGCATGTATTATAGTATTGGTAATTTGCTTTTCTGTTTTTGAGGAGTTTTTAGTAACAAATGTATCATCATTATATAATAATTTTTATTAACTTCTTTGTGATTTTTGCTTTGGATATGATACTTTTAATTATTCTTTAAGTCCAAATTATTAGAGTAATACTTGAGAAGTGATTGTTTTTAATCAAGCTTCTTATTCCACAACATGTCTGCTTTTAAAAAAAATAGGATATGAAAAAACATGTGAACGAAGAAGTGACTGAATTCCTAAAGTTTTTACAGAATTCTGCAAAGAAATGTGCGCAGGATTATAATATGCTTTCTGATGATGCACGTCTCTTCACAGAGGTAAAAAAATATTAACATTTACTTAAACTGCCAAGTAGTAGGCACTAGCAGTATTTTATAATGTGTGATGCATCCTGTCAAATGCATATGTAAATACCAGTATTATCAATTTAGAGACCAAATTGTATGTAGGTTTTTTAAAATCATACATTTAAATAATAGAAATACTGTGCTAAGACCTCAAAATCATGTACTGTAGTATATTCTTCTTTTACTGATCCAATTACCATATTTGAGATTATATTTTACTCACATGGATGGTTTGATCTGATGCACTGATTTCCTTTATGAGAGAATGGTTGTTTAAGGAGTTAACTTAGTCATTAAAAATCTGAATGGTCCTATAAAACTTAGTCACATAAATTGGTATTTATTAACTTCATGGTAACCAATCACCAAATAAATTTCAACTGAGTTCATTTTTTAATATAAGTCATACATGCAAATGTATTAGCAAAGCATATAAGTCACTCTGCCTTGTACCCTGCCATCATTCAGTGAACCTGGGAGAAATTTAGAGTAACCTATATAAGTAGTTAATATTAATACATGCAATTGAGATGTAAACAACACAGGGGTTAGGGTTGTCGACCCCTCACACTGTCAAAATTTGCATATAACTTTTAACTCCCCAAAAACTTAACTACTAAGAGCCCACTGTTGACTAGTAGCCTTACCAATAATAAGCAATTAACACATATTTTGTATGCTACATGTATCATATACTGTTTCCTTACAATAAGGTAAACTAAAGAAAATGTTATTAAGGAAATCATAAGGAAGAGAAAATATATTTACAGTATTTATTGAAAAAAATCTGCATGTAAGAGGACCTGTGCTGTTCAAACCATATTGTTTAAGGGTCAACTGTATTATTGTAGCAGAGTTCATCTACATACATGCCAGTCTGGATTTTTCTTTAAGCCTTAAACTAGTCATTGTATACAACATTGTGCTACCCTTAACACTATTGAACTCAACACTTAAAAATGGTTAATATGTTAATTTTTTTTTTTTTTTTTTATAGAGTGGGAGGGAGAGAGAGGAAGGGAGAGAGAGAGAGAAACATCGACGTGAAGGGACACATCGAGTGGCTGCCACCCGCACAACCAACCAGGGCCGGGGACAAACTGCAACCGAAGTACGTGCCCTTAGCGGGAACCGAACCCGGGTCTCTCCGGACCGCAGGTCGACGCTCTAACCGCTGAGCCAAACCAGCCAGGGCTAATATGTTAATTTTTATGTATATTTTATTATAATGTTTTAAAAATGGTCACTGTGAATTGGGGAACAACGGTGTATTAGTTTACTGTTTTTGTTTTCGAGAGAGAGGAAGGGAGAGAGAGAGAAACATCAATAAGAGAGAACATAGTTTAACCACCTCCTACATGCCCCACGCTGGGGATTTGGCGCACAACCTGGGCATGTGCCCTGGCTGGGAATTGAACCAATGACCTCTTGGTGCATGGGTCAATGCTCAACCACTGAGCCATACCGCTGGGCTTACTGGTGTTTTTAAAACACTTTTTTAAAAAAATCCTCACCCAAGGATATTTTTTCATTTATCTTCAGATAGAGTGGGAAAGAGAGAGAGAAAGAAACTTCGATGTGAGAGAGAGACATAAACTGGTTGCCTCCTGCACAGCCCGACAAGGGCCAGGGACCAAACCGCAATTGAGGTACGTGCCCTTGACCGGAATTGAACCTGCGGCTCTTTGGTCCGCAGGCTGGTGCTCTAACCAGAGCCAAACTGGCCAGGGCTTAAAGCACTTTTTAAGATGAAATTTTATTGTTACTATGAACCAAAAGAATGATTCTGCTAAATAAAAGAATTCCACTTTTATTTTCTCTGAATCTAAATGTGATGTACTCAAACAGTGTCATATGTTTCCATATGGAAGAGGAACTTCTTCCATATTTTAATAGTGCTTTTGAGAGGATCAGAATGATGGTTTTAAAACATAAATCCTATCCCCTCATTTCACTGGTTTAAAATGTCTTCTTATCTCACTCAGGAAGAGACAGTTTACAAAGATCACGCCCCCACCCCCTAGCCTGCTTCATCTTCTACGTACCTTCCTCCCAGCACTTGGCTGTTCACATCTTTCTGGCAAGCTGTTCCCCAGATGTCTGCATGGATTATAGTTTCTAGATTCCTTTAAATCTCTCTGTTCAGATGCCAGCTATCAATGAGGATGTCCCTAATTACCCTCTAAGAAATAGCATCACCCTTTGTATCTCCTTTACCATGTTTTATTTTTGTTTATTATCTTTCTTCACAATGCCTGTAAGTAAGTACTCTTTTGTGCACTGCTGTGTTCCCGATGACTAGAATAATGCCTGGCATACAACAAGTGCTCAAGTGTTCATTGTAATTATTTAAGTGAGTATAAAAATGTTTATTAACAGAGTACATTATTTAGTAGTTAACAATTGGTATTATGTCTTGTTTTTTAGCCATAATGTCTTGGTAGCACATTTTCTCTAATTTATATTTTACATGTCCATCCCAAAGATTCACTGATATTTTTTTTAATGTTTTACTGTTTTAAAATTTTATATTATGAAATGTAAGGTACCTATGAAAAAGTATATAGAACAAACATATACAGCTTAACAAAGAATTATGCCATAGTGAACACCTATGTAATTCAAGTCAAGAAATACATCACCAGAAACCCAAACGCCTCCTGTGTATATTTCCTAGATAATTACATCCTTTCTCTTTGAAGAAATAATTACTATCCCAAATTTGGTATCATTAATTTCCATGCTTTTATTTTTTATTTTATGATAGTTCTTCAATCTCTCTTGCTTGTTTTTGAATTTTATGTGAGCAGAAAATTCTTTTGTTCTTTTATGTGAACAGAATTCCCTCTTCTTTCACTCAATATTATGATTGTGAGATTCATACGTATGTGTGTAGTTGTAGTTCATTCATCTTCATTTCTGCACATTATTCCATTTTATAAATAAACAATTTATTCTGTTGATCAAAATTTGAGTTGTTTCCAGTTCAGCGCTATCTTAAGCAATACTCCTATGAAAAGGCTCATACTTGTCTCTTGGTGTATATGTGCACACATTTCTACTGGGTATATACCTATGAATGGAATTGCTGGATCAAAGAATATGCATGTCTGCAACTTTAGCATTTAATGTCAAACTGTTTTCCAATGTAATTCTACCACTTTACATTCCATCCAGCAGTGTTTGAGTTTTGTTGCTTCATATCCTCTAACAGTTGATACTTGAAGTCATTGTAGTTTCAGCCAATCTAAAGGTTATGGTGCTATATATTTAATAAGACTGTGCATCTTTTCATATGCATATTTTTTCAGTATTTTTTATTTTTATTATTATTAGTTTTAATTAATTTATTTTGTTAGATACTTTTCATTTTCCCTCCTTTGACACCCTCCTACTGTCCTCCACCCCCCCCCCCCCGTCCCCAGTATTGTTGTTTATGTCCATTGGTATGCTTATATACATAAGTTCTTTGGTTTATCTCTTCCTCCTCCCCCCCCCTCCTTTGAGGTTTGTCAGTCTGAACCCTACTTCTGTATCTCTGGGTCTCTTTTGTTCATCAGCTTGTTTTGTTCATTCTACAAATAAGTAAGATCATGTGATATTTGTCTTTTGCTGATTGGCTTATTTCTCTTAGAATGATACTCTCTAGGTTTCTCCATGTCATCTCAAAAGATAAGAGATCTTTCTTTCTTACAGTTGCATACTATTCCATTGTATATATGTACCACAACAATCCACTCATCTATTGTTAGACACTTGGGCTGTTTCCAGCCTTAGCAATTGTAAATAGTGCTGCTATGAACAGGGGTACATATATTCTTTCCGATTGGTGTTTCAGGCTGCTTAGGGTATATTACTAGAAGTGGGATCACTGGGTCAAATGACAGTTCAATTTTTAATTTTTTGAGGTAACACCATACTGTTTTCCATAGTGGCTGCACCAGTCTGCATTCCAACCAGCAGTATACTTGAGTCCCCTTGTCTCCACACCCTCGCCAGCACTTGTTGTTTGATGATTTGTTGATGGCAGCCATTCTGGCAGGTGTGAGGTGATACCTCTTAGTTGTTTTAATTTGCGTCTCTCTGATGATTAGTAACATTGAGCATTTTTTTCATATGTCTCTTGACCATTTGTATGTCCTGTTTGGAGAGGTGTCTATTTAGGTCCTCTGCGCATTTTTTAATTGGGTTCTTTGTCTTCCTTTTGTTGAGTTGTATGAGTACTCTATATATTTCGGAAATTAACCTCTTATCTGATGTATCATTGGCAGTTATGCTCTCCCATATAGTGGGTTCCCTTTACATTTTGATGATTGTTTCTTTTGCTGTGCAGAAGCTTTTTAGTTTGATGTAGCCCCATGAGTTCATTTTTTCCTTTGTTTCTCTTACCTTAGGCGTTGTATTGGTGAAAATTCTGCTGCGTGTGATGTTTGAAATTTCGTTGCTTACATTTTCTTCTAGGATTTTTTGTGGATTCACGAGTCACATATAAGTCTTTTCTCCATTTTGAGTTTATTCTTGTCTATGGTGTACGTTGGTGGTCTAGCTTCATTTTTTTGCATGTAGCTGTTCCCAACACCATTTATTTAAGAGGCTGTCTTGACTCCAGTGTATGCTCTTGCCACCTTTTTCAAATATTAATTGTGCATAATGTCTTGAGTCAATTTCTGGGTTCTCTGTCATATGCATATTATATTGCTCATTTCTTGTGAACTAACTATTCAAGTTTTGCCCTTTATTCTGGATTTTCCTTCTTTTTGTTATATGTGAGAGTTCTTTATATGTTTTAAATTCAAAAAGCTATTGGTTATATATTGTGTTGTAAGTTTTTTTCTTTTATCTGATAAACATTTCTTTTTAATCTACAAGTTCCCCCTCTATCCCTTTCTTTTTCTTAAAATTTATCTTTTCAAGAACCTGGGTCATTGAACCTGTAGTTTCCCACAGTCTAGATTTTTATGATTGCCTAT